AGAGAGAGAGAGAGAGAGAGAGAGAGAGAGAGAGAGAGAGAGAGAGAGAGAGAGAGAGAGAGAAGAGCGGTGATATGCTGCATACCTTTAGTAGATGTTTGCCCGTAGATGTGTTGATCATGTGGCGATGTGAAGTTTGTGAGATGCATCATAGAGTTGGCATTAGGCTTGCGGCTAATTTGAAGACAGATCTGCCCACATGTGACTAGGTGGTTTCATCGTGGTTTTAATAACCTGAGGATAAAAGTGTAACTGCTACACACTGTTGTGTGACTGCACTGATGCGGAGCTGTTTGGTAATCCTAGTGGGTGAAGTCTGTAAACTCATTGGTCTCGGAGCCCCAATTGAGATGGGTCGAGTTTGTGTGGCCGGTAAAGCAGGAATCTGGGTCCGTTTTCTAAATGTGTTTTGTGGGAATGTGATGGCGGGTTTGGAGGTGTTTTCTACGGGCCAACGGGTGTCACTTTTTTTTTTTTTTTTTTTTTTTTTTTTTTTTTTTTTTTCCCTTTCAAAAAGGGCGACAGCCGTGAGATATCTTTTTTATGACCGGCCCCAGGTACTTGAGGATTATTTTGTTCTGTTCATCTGATTGTATCTGGATTCACCTGAAGCAAAGAAGGAAGAAACTGGACATTCGGATCCAAGTGCCCGTATCAGGTGCTGAATGGCTCTGACTTTGTGGGATCCAGGCAGTCGAGCGCGGTAATCCATAATCAGATGCTGCATCAGTTCGACGTGTGCAAATATGGGGGTGGATGGGTCATAATGGGCTCGATGGGATCCAGCCACCGAGCAGGGAGCTCATGTTAGACGACATTCGGATTCAAGCACCCGCATCAGGTGCCGAATGGCTTTGACTTTATGTGGGATCCAGGTGGTCGAGCGGGGAAGCCCATATCAGATGCTGCAGATGGACGCGTGCAAATATGGGTGTGAAATGCTCGTAATGGGCTTGATGGGATCCAGGCACTGAGCAGGGAACCCACGTTAGACTAGTTTCTTTCTGGTGAAAATGAAAATGTTCGGGGCTATGAAGTGAGACATCGTGTTTTTTTCCTGTGCGCAGACCAGGGATGATGTCCTTCAGATGGGAATTGACAAGTACAATGAAGAATGTCGGAGCATCGTCATGCGATACTCTAAGGTAAGGCATTTTCACATGTCTGGCCGCCCTGTAATGTGAGTTGTGTCTCGCTTTTTGCCAGAAGCACAAACTATGTGTTGTAAGGAAGATGCTGATCCCGTCAGAAGGAGAGTAGCTCGTGCCGTGTGGGGAAAGAACTGTTCAGTTGTCTTGTACCTGACCCTGGTGGATGAATGGTACACGTTCAACTGTTAGCAACCAGATCTAGAGTTCGAACCCTGTTACAAGCAGAGGTTAGAAGCTCCCCTCTTCGAAAGAAGTGGAAGAAAGCACTCTTCATGTTGAAAAAACTATTCAGTTGTCTTCTACCTCATCCTGGTCGATGAATGGTACACGGTCAACTGTTAGTAATCAGATCTAGAGTTCGAACCCTGTTACAAGCTCAGGTTAGAAGCTCCCCTCTTCAAAAGAAGTGGAAGAAAGGCTTAGAAAGCACTCTTCATGTTAGAAAGCAGGACTTATCAGGGAAGGACAGATCAGGACGGTTTACCTGTGAGTAGCCTGTTGACCTGATACGATGGTCTCTGTTTTGGTGTACCAGTTGAATTTACTGGGTTCAAAATCTATGTGTTTCTGACTGGTTTGACTGTCGACTCAGCGATGTGTATTGCTATGTGTTTTTGACGGGTCTAAGTGCGGGCTCCTTAAAACCGGTAGTGCACGGCCCCAGCCTTGCAGAAAAGAAACTCGTCACCTACTCCGAAAAGTTCGGGGTCGGCGCGCCGTTGATAAATTTAATCTATTACAGGTGTCATATTTCGGGCCTCCAAAACTTGCGGTGAGGGCCCGCGGCCGACGTATGGCCGTGTGCTGGTGGTTTAAGTTTTATGTCTACCTGGTTGTTTTGGATTCGCATTGCCTTCTTTTGCTGAAACGGATCAGAGTTGGTTATTAAGTCAGGGCTGTCTGTAGGATATGCTGAACTGCTCTCCTAACTCGCAGTATTAATGGGGGTCTCGTATCGTCATCCTAATGGTTTCCAGGAATGGGAGACTATCATCACCCGGATGGGCCGATGGATCGACTTCAAGAACGACTATAAGACTCTGGACCCCTCTTTCATGGAGAGCATTTGGTGGGTGTTCAAGCAGCTGTACGAGAAGGGCCTTGTTTACAGGGGTTTCAAGGTATGCACTTGTCTTTTGTGGGAGTTATGGGTCAATGCTTTGGTGTGTGAGGTACCTGGGTCTGGAGTGGGTTTATGTCCCCTGCTGGTGGTTGGGATTGAAGATATCCGTTGATGTTCTTTATTGTTTTGTCTTTGTCTGTCACGCAAGGGAGGTCATGCGAAATGCGAGAATCATGGGGGTTCTGGGGCAGGGAGGTGTTAGTGTTAGCTTGGTAATTGGATGGTGAAATTACAGTTTTGTCTTTCTTTCTCCTTCCCCTCCCCTCCCTCTCCCATCGACTGCTGCTCGCCCGTTGCCTCTGTCTTTGTATTGCATTCAGATGCATTCATGATTGCATTCTTCAGTTACGGATTTCACGGTTACTTGTTAGTTTTGGTCACTACAGGAGCCGATGCTGGTGAAGGATGAAGGTGAACCGTATCCTCTTGAGGGCACAGGGTGAGAGGGGCCCATTGTTTCTTTCTGTGGGCTGTCTTATGCATCTGTCAAGCCGTTGGCCGACTACATTCAGTGCTCTTGAAAGTAGTCTGTGGAGTGATTGGTTTTCCATAGAGTCACTGTTGACATTGTTTCCTATTGTGCGTGGATGTCTCTTCGCATGCATGTTTGCTCGTATGTTTGCAGGTTATGCCGTACAGTACGGGGTGTAACACAGCACTGTCGAACTTTGAGGCAGGGTTGAATTATAAGGTAATGCAAGGACATATGAATTTGAACGGTGCTCTTCTGTGGTTATTTTCGTGACTGTCGCTTTGCATCTCGGGCATTCATTTTGAGCTGTGGTGTCTTGTACATGCTGTTAATGTGTGTGTGTGTGTTTCAAGACGATCCTGCCATGTCAGTCCTGATGAAGCGAAACTTCTCTCTGCTTAATGGATCACTGTTTGATTGTCTTGGACAAGGGCTGCTTTTGATTAGCAATTTTGCCTGGTCAGGTCATCAAGCACTGCTTGCTCTTGTGAACTAACTTAAATGTTCATCAAGTCTTGAAGTATGCATTTGATCAATGGCCCCTGAACAGGTGACGACGATTGGCCAATTACTCCTGATCAATCAAGCGTTTTCTTTGCCTGCAGGACGTTTCAGATCCAGCAATTGTGGTGAGCTTCCCTGTAGTGGGGGATGCGGATGGTGCAGCTCTGCTGGCATGGACAACTACGCCGTGGACTCTTCCGAGCAATCTTGCTCTTTGTGTCAATGCGAACTTCACATATCTCAAGGTGATGATGACAATGGTGCTCTGAGTTGCTTTAGTGGAGTCGTCCGACTGTGAAAGGGACAAGACCTTGGGCTGTTATTGTTTATATTTACTCATTTGTTTTAACACACCACACCACTCATGCATGCCCCAGCTTTTCAGGGGGGCGTCAGTCAGCACTTGCTTATCACCGGCAAGACGAGACTTCGGGCTGTTATTTAGAAGTAGGAATTTGTGAGAAAGAACTTATTCTGGGGGGTGTCAGTCAGGGGTTGCTCATTTTTTTCTTTTTTTTCTTTTTTAAAATGAGAAGAAAAGAAAACTCAGTCTGTGTTCTCCTCATATGGGGGACAGCTGTATGTTAGCTAACCGTATTTTCTTCTCTCAATGTCTTACCTTCCTTTCTCTACCTACCTGCTCATCTCAGCATGCGATCTGTCTACCCAAGATAACCCAGCACCACAACCCAAGACCTCCAGGCACCAAACACCCCAAGCGCAGACAGCAGGCCAAGAGACTATGAACTAGGGGAGATAGCCAACAACCTATTCTATGCCTAATAATTGGAGATAGGTGCAGTTTTAAATACCCTACCCTAAGCTAAGCTATCCTACGGTTATGGGTCTATGAAGTCTACCACCCTCTGCTCAGTGCGGGGAGCAGTACCCAGACTGCTAACACCTGGCGTAGGCCGGAGCAATGTTCCCTATCCAGCCAGGAGGCCCAAAGCCGGCAATCTCCACTGGTGAAACTGGAAGTTGAGAAGGAACTTCACCTTACAAATATTTTGTTACATTATAAAAAGCAAAGCCCACAATCAACCACAATACAGACAGAACCAGACTTTGGTTGGTTTGGACCTTGCTTTGGAAGTGGTCCATACATGCTGGGATCTGGTTGGAATAAGTGACTTTTTTTTACAAACAACGCATGCCCCACCTATTCTGGGGGGTGTCAGTCCGGTTGCTCATCACCAGCAAGCATGTTTGTACATGAAAAAAGCAGCAAGAAAGAGACAAAGATGAGACAGACAAGGCAAAGTTACAGCCACCCTTACATCTCTAGCCGCTTACACAAGCGGGGGGCGGCTTCGGCCGTTCTCCCCCCAAACCATAACTCGTTTGCAGGGATTCACTTGCTGGCCGGAAAGCTTGCTGCCAGCACCCAGACACGCATCAGGTGGATCCTGTAGACGGCGAGGTGTGGGGGAGATCCGCCTGGCAGCCTCACAGGCCGCTTAGCCTCCAACCCTCAGTTATGTGTTCCTTCCTACAATAGTTTCCCTACCTTCTGTTAACCACTACCATCCTCCCCTTTTGTACCATGCTCTACCTCCTCAGGCCTTCTCTACTTGCTATCCTCCTTCCAGTTGTCACGTGGTATGTCTTGTTCCTTGGCTAGCATACTATATGCCACTAAATGCCACCACTATATACTGCCACTCTATGCCGCTACTATATGCCACTACCCTCCTACCATGTGTCCACAATTCCAGTGTGCCCGTACTGCCTACTGACTCTCAGTAGTTGCCTTTAGTCTATATACAATACCCCGGCCATTTCCTTTTGGTTTTGCTCCCTTCCAGCCCTCACTCTGACCTCCTTTTCTGCCTGTTTCTTTTAACCTCTGAAGTTTGAATGACTTTGGTTCATCTTGTAGTTCTGTGCGTCACATGTCCTTACCTTGGGTTGGAAAAAAAGAAATTCCTGGGAAATTGTTGAAATCAAAACTGCAGAAAAATAGTGAAAGATTCATCCGGGGCAGGCTGCTGGACGTGAAGCATTCCAACACCGGATATCCAGAGTTCATGAATAAACTATCTTGTATCCGGGACTCAGGCATGCATGAAAAAGGAAAGCGTTGGGATCCAGGCCCAACCATTGCCTATGTCCTTATTGAGAAAGCAAAAACCTACCAGTCTCAGATGTGGTTAGATTCATGGTAACAAACGAAGCCCGGACATGGTACCATTGCTGCCAGACCATTACTTGGAAGTATATATTTCCCTGGTGGATAAGAATGAACGTGATCGACAGGACAACGTCTGAGATTCTATCTTTTTTTTTTTCAGGCGAGGGATACCTACCTCCCCCCCCCTCCCCCCGGCATCCTCTTTTTTAGGCAAAAAGCACGTGATTATGTCCGTTGCAGAACCTGTGTTCGTGTTCATATTCGTACTCGTACACTGCATGGATGTTTTGTAGATTGAATGACAGTATGTTTTCGTTCTTGAAGATAATGATGGACTGCGACCGGATAAGGTGGGAAGTCTTGTCTTTTTCTGTGTTATTTTTCGTTCCTTTAGAAAGGGCGATGGTCTTGGGATATCTTCACTGATCGGACCTGCCCTAGGTGATTCAGAATGATTTCTTCCATTCATCAATGTCAAGCAGGATTTGAGCTCAGGTCTGTATTTCAACGGTTCTTGGGTGTACCAACTGAGCTTGGCTCGTTGGTAGGGAGGTCGTTTTTTTCTGGGTGTGGCTTATTTCTGAATTCTCACCTTGCAGATGCTGCTGTCTGCCTTGAATATGTACTCACTCCTTGTGGATTGTGATTCGAGCAACCGTTGCCCTGCACGTCAAGACCCCTACCATTAATCCTCCAGGATGCATAAGGCTTTCAGAATGCTGCAGGTCCATATCAACCCAAAACTACATAGCTTACTGGCCACTGTGGCCGTGTGCACAGCTGATTCCCTTGTTTGGGACCGATTTTGGGTGGTCACAGGTTTTGATTTGAGGAGTGGGATTGTAAATTTGGGGGCATTTGGAGGCTGGTGTTGACACATTCTTTGATTGACGTCCATGTGCTTTCCCTCTGTTCCGCCGTCAACGATTCCGTACCGATGGATGGGTTGTCATCCAGTGATGGGATTTTCCCTGACGCTCGCCTACGTGTTTTGGAATGTGGGATGCATTTTCTGCATTTCTGCACCCGTACGTTGCTCTGAATCGCTCGATACAGCGTCTCGACTGGCAGTGGCAATCAGGGAGGCTGTGCTAAACAAATCGTAAGGAGGACAAGAATCAGGGTGGGCATTTTAAATGAATCGTGAGTGCACGTGTACAATATGATGACTATACGAGACAGGCCCGTGAAGTTTAGGATAGGGCCATTATGCTGAGGAGGGGCCCAGTAAACCTGAGGTGGTGGAATGTGGCACAATGCATGAGCGCATGAAATATTAGGGTGGGTGTTGCAATGCATGAGCGCAGAAAAAATACGTCTGGGGAGCAACATGGACAGTCCGTGAAAAGTCTGATAAAACAGTCTGGGCTTTTTTGTTTTTGTGGAGGTGTGTATGGCGAACAAGGCAACATGCGCCACATAATTGCACAAACACCCACTGCACACGCGTGCATGCAAAGAAACACACAATTGTACTTTGTGTGGAGGTGTGTACAGTGGACGTGACAACGCACACACCCTCGCTGCCATTCTGGACAGGGGTTTGGACCGATAATCTTCTGGGATTGCAGGGTTGGTGTGAGTAAAGCTGACCACTTTTCTCTCTCAGGGGTATGGCGAACTCTGGGCGACGTGGTGAGTCCTTATCCATCAGTCCAATGCATCCTGCTGGGCAGACTGTCGGGGTCCAACCTCCTGCTGATGAGTCGGTGAAAGTCCGACGAAACAGTCTGGCGCAGTCATGCTTTTTTCTTGGGGTTGTGTATAGCGAACATGACAGCGCATGCGCCAGGGTTGGTGTGAGTGAAGTTGACCACTTTTTCTCAGGGGCCTCCCTTAGTTTGGGTGACGCGGTGAGTCCTTATCCATCTATTGAAAGTTTGAAAGCTTAAACCAGAGGGCTCCTTAACGGGAATGAGGGAGCCACCTTCCTCGAAGAAAGTGAGGGCTACACCCAACAGGAAAGAAAGTAATCTCTGGATTAATTTGTGCTATTGGAGGAAGGATTGAACTAATCGTTCTGACACTGACTGAAAAATTATTGTTATTGCATAACATATATTTTTCCAGTAGCTTATGTCACACTATGCCCTAGACGTGCGCATGAAAATTCAAGTGTGGAACAAGAGTGCGAGTGCTGCAGTATAATTTTCCACTAGCTTATGTCACACTGTGTCCTAAACGTGCACATGAAATTCAAGTGTGAGACAAGAGTGCTAGTGCTGCGGTGCGTAGATGTGGCGTTGTTGGGGGGTTGGTTTCGGCATTCTCATCTGCCTGTGGATATTGGAGGGAAAGGTTTGAGATTTGGCTGTCGGATGCTCTTTATATTGCCTCGGGTGTGTTAATTTTTTAGCCTGCCTGCTTATATTGTGGTGCTCTGCCTGAAAATTCAGGTCAAAGAGAAGCATACCGGTGCAGTATACATCATTGCGGAATCACGAGTCTCACAACTTCCAGCAAGAAAGAAGCTGAAGTCCGGTACTGGAACAGAGAATGGACCTGCGTCTACTGGATTGGGACCCCATGAACCATCGGCCAATGGCAAGAAGAGTGGAAAGAAAGGGTCCGCGGCTGGGAAGAAAGCTGGTGCAGCCGGGGGCAAGAATGCTGCAGAACAGAATGCCACTGGTGGAACATCAGGGCTAGACTCTGAGGCGTATGATCTGCTTGGGAAGATAAAAGGCAGCGATCTTGTGGGCAAGAGGTATGATCCATCTATCCAAGCCTCATTTTTTGGTAGCCTCTGGAGTATCAGATTTTGAAAGTTTATAGGCCGGAAGTTTGCATGCTATCGTGGGCCTTTCGTGGCCCGATGTTCATGCTATAGTTTGTATGGGGACACCGTTGAGTGAAAAACGCGCTGCAACTTTCTGCTTCCAGAAACACAAGCGTTCACTGTGAGCGGCTGGATGAAGAATTGTGAATTATGGTGTGGAGAAATGAAGTATGTGGCCAGCGATCAGAACGGGTGGGAGAAAGAAGATCCTAAAAAGCTTGTCCATAGTTCGACTCGAGCTTTGGAGTCTTTGGACAGGATTCAAATAATCAGTGGACATCCTCTCCTCGCACTGTCCCCGGCACCCCTCACAACCTTTATAGGATGGTCAAATCAGTGCTACAGGTGTGCTGTGTGAAGCAATCACTTCCTGCGGCCCAATCCACAATCTGGAGCAAAGTGTAAATCAGGAATTCGAGTCAGAAACGTTATGGATCATTCTTCATTTGTATGCTCCATGGAACATAACTGCCTGTTTTTTTGTGTTTTGTTTTGTTTTGTTTTATCTTCAGGACAATCGCAAGGCCTGATAGAATAGGACAGTATGTTCTGCTTGTCAACACTCTGCATGAGCCAACGTCTTACAGTCTGTGGCAGTATGTCCACAACCAGAGTAGATTGTCGGTCCGTGATAAGTCCTGACTGTGCAGAGCCCTTGCACAGGCGATGTACAAGCACAGGATTCTGTAATGCTGCCCTCCACCCAATCCAGCTACTTAAGTTAAGCCCAGTGCCTGTGAGATGCCCTAGAGATGTTTGTTGGTCATATGCACTTAATGAATGTTTTCAGCTTCCAAGTGTGTATGGTTGGCAGTGTGCCATCCCTCAATGTGGCTGACTTAGCCAGGGTATCCAGTCGGAGATGCCCTACATGTTCATTGCGTGCACACAATGAATACATAATTGTCGAATACTGGTGACTATCACAAGTGGTTAACAGTGACCCCCACTTTTCAGCCCCAGGTTAAACCCCCAAGCACCGAAATGTGCATTTTGGGATAATGTTTTGAAGTTTTTTTTTCTTTTCTTTTCTCTTGTTTTATTTTTGGTCAACGTCTGCACGTGGCAAGTTTGGTGTTTGTTGGGGTCTTGGAGATTACCGTTTTCGCAAGCCCTGAAAATCCTGAAAATCCTGAGAAACGGGAAAGAGCGAATTTTGCATGAAAGCGCATTTTTGCCTTGGGGTTTTAGGCTCCTTTGGTCCTTTTTACTTTTTTTTTGCCATTGTTTCTTTTGGTGTCCACTTCATGGACTGGTGACAAGTTTGGTTTAAAAGGTGTCTGGGTTGTGTGTGTTTTAGAGACCCTGAAAAAAACCTGAAAATTTAAGGCCCTGTTAACCGTTTCTCGTGATTATGGAACTCCACTATGACTGTATCCTATGGCATTTTTTATTTTATTTTTTAATTTTATCCCATGAACAATGTCTTTTCTTGGACAGTGTCATTTTTTTTGGGACGATGTCGTTTCTGGCAATGCTCATAAGATGTGTGTGCTGCTCGTTGTGCTGAGAATGTGTCGTCTGAATGTGCTCTGTTTCACTTGTGCAGGTATCTGCCAATTTTTGATTACTTTGCTGAGCTGTCCGAAGCCGCATTCCGGGTTCTTGCTGACAATTATGTAACAGACGACAGTGGTACCGGGATTGTGCATCAAGCACCTGCCTTTGGAGAGGATGATCACCGTGTCTGTTTGCGCGAGAATGTCATCCAAAAGGTGGGCAGAAAGTGTATAGCGGACTTGTATTGATTGAGTCTGTGTTTTGATGTGTCTTTTTTTTTTTGTCCCCCTGGGTTGCTGCTCCGTTCTTCTGAAGATGTAATTATTGCTTGTGTGTGTTATGGTTAATGGTTTGGAGGCTTGGGTCAGTGGTGCTTGCATAACTGGTGGCGGTTATGTGGTTAAAATTAAATGCACGATTTGCACCAGATAGGTGCTGGGTTCAAGACCCGCCTGTGTCACTCTATGGTTGAAACGACGTTATTGAACCTGCTGGGGTGGGTGGCAGCGCCCTGTCCTGTAACTGGATGCAAATTTAGGGGTAATTGGCTGTGGAGATTTGGCCTGTAGAGTGCACCTAGTAGCCAAACTTGGCACCTGCTCGCCAAACTTGGCGGATGGCAAGGCCCTTACTACGGATCAGCCTCCATCATCGCTGCCCATAGAGAGAATATTGGCTGCGGAAACCGAAGAAACCTGCTCCATGCCACACTGTGATGGTCCACCTGAGAATTCGGTAGCATGTTGTTGTTGGCATGCTTTGTGTTGTGAGGATTCTGACAGTATATAGGTCATGCGGGTATTTGTTTTCGTGTGTATGATGACAGTGAATATTGTACTCATGTACGACACTCTGACATTGCGTGTCCTATTTGTAGACAAGGGCTGGAATGACAATGACTATTCAGTTACTTGGCGTGCCTCTGTGTTATTAACATGTAGGAGGCAGGTAGCCTGTGGCATCTGTCTATGCCGTGCCATTTGTTGCAGCAACTGCAACTGTGAGAATTGGCTGCGGTACTTCGACAGTCCACACCTAAACTGGTCCTCTCCGGTCTCTAGTGGTGGCCACTTGCTATAGGCAATGGCTGCTCCTCAACTCAAATTTGCCTGCATCTCGAACACTGACTGGCCTGTAGTGTCATTCTATAGTAGTCTGCTCTGGAGGTGAGTACTGAGAACCGTATAAAGTTTGTCTTTCCTCTGTTCTGAACTCCTCCCCTTCCTCTTTCCTTCCTTCCTCTGCTTGTGTAGATCTGACTAAATGCATACAAATGAGCATCATTATGAGAAAAGAAAAATATGAACTGAAGATCTGCTGAAAAATGAACAGGAGTACACCTCCCACTTTACTTTGCCTCCTTTCATAGCTTGCAAGTGGGCCGTTATGGCACACAGTGATGTGGGCAGCTTGCGCTCAACAACCACCATCAACGTGGCAAAGCCTTGCACATGAGAGGCACAGTAAAAAGGGAGCTGTAAGAACAAATGGAAGGGGTACCCCAAGTAAAGATAGTCTGGGAAAGGGATATAAAGAATCTATTCTGCTCCATGTAGCTTTCTATAAAGGTTAAAACTGTTTCACTTTTGTAATGGCTCATCTCAAGTGTGCTTCATTGTCTGCTGTAGGGGTAAAAGCTGCATTGATATCGGATCTACTCGTCTAGGTGGAACAGGGGCTGTTGCGGTTATACTCTACACACACGCACACACACACACACACACACACACACACACACACACACACACACACACACACACACACACACACACACACACACACAGGTCTGCTTTTTTGTTCCCTTAAATTGTTTGTTTTGCTATGATGCTTTGATGCTTTCATCTTCATTGGCGTTGCCTCAAGAAGGGCCCTCTTGGGGTACTGGTTGAACCTTCATCCGAGAGCAGGGCTATGGCACTAGTGGATGGGAGAGGCATCATGGTAGTGCATTGTGGATCCAGCATCGATGTTGCATTGCTAAAGAGGAGGGAGATGGCATTGGTCTAATCTTGTGTTCTTCTTCTTCTTCATCCCTTCATTCTTCGTATGTTGTAGAATTCTACTTCTTGAGTTGAGACTTATAGTGTTGTCTCAAAGTGGTGTATTCGTTCATAGCATGTGTATTTTGAACTGCAACTGTGTGATTGTTGATGGGTAGACCGTGAGAGAGGTATGATGCGCAGCTTTCGGCAAGAAAATGATGTATGCTTGGAATTTTCTTGTGGGCCAGGGGGAAGATCTGCCAAACCCAGTGGACTTAAATGGTCGCTTCACAGAGAAGGTGAAGGATTTTGCTGGGAAGTATGTGAAGGATGCGGACAAGGAGATTATCGCTCACTTGAAGGTTGGTGATCTGTCACAGTCGGCGTCTTTTCTGTGGAGTTGTGTTTAGCAAATACTTCACACACAAAGCACCAAACACATGCGTTTTGTGGATTCTATTTTGGAGAATGGTTGTATACAATGATGTGTGACTCCGCTTGGTGCATGCAGGTTAGTTCTTGTTTGCTTGCCCCCTTTAATTTACTGTGTGAAAGTGTACCATTATGACAGATAAATTCTGTACTTGATATTCAACCACAAACATAACCAGCCTTTTACCCCTTATGGCATGCAGAGACATCCATACAGGTCCTAGAGGCCTGGCATTGGACCTACTAGACATCCATACAGGTCCTGGAGGTGCTGGTGCGGCAACCTGCCTGCAAGCTTCTGCACCTCCCCCCCGCTGTCAACAGTAGACTGCATTTGCTGCAGTCACCCTACGGTC